GTCCAGAAACAAGACAGAGCTGAACACAGGCTTACGGGAGACAGGCAGTCCTCCCTCCTCTGGCACTTTGTGCATTTACCACTGTCGATCTCATCAAAAAGCATTCTCATGCTAATTGAACTCCAAGGGCAGCCATGCGTACAGTGCACGGTGATTGTGCGCCCATGGATGTGCACACCCGTGTGTGTTTGAGTTTTGAGTTTGCGAGCTCAAACTATTCCCTCAAACGTGCTCATTTAGGCTCGTTTTTGTGTTCCCAGCACCTACCCTCTGACAATCATCCTAGAACCGTGAGAGACACGATCCTCCTGAGCACGTTCAAACCTCACCAGCAGCCAGTACAGTAAAAGTGATCTATCTATCCACTGCCACACCTGTCTGTTTACCCAGAGATCCCTTCCATCATTCTGTCTGCCTTTTGTCTGTCTGAATCCATTCATCTGTCATTATCAAACGAAAAGATGTAACACTGTCTCTCCCCCCTCCCCCGGTGATAAGACTGTAGACATCACTCAGCAGTGTTCCAGCAGGAACGTAGATCTGCACAAATTTTAAACTCTGAAAGAAAAAAAAAACTCTTCTCAATCATTCCTGTGATTCTTTTGTTGTTATTTTGCTCAAACATAAAGTTTAAACCCATGCAGCATCTTTTCTCAACAAATGTCACATTATTTTATGCAATCACAGCCTCTAGTCTGTGCCTGGAATTTTACCGCTCCATCAGTATTCAGCGCTCCTTCCCCAGTGCAGCTATAACTGCTTACTGGGATACTATAATGAGAAACTCCAGCCAAACCCAAACTCCCCCAGCCTTCAGAGAAGGTTTTGAGGAAAATAATTTTAGAACGTTCTTGTTTTCTCTGTCATCAACCGAGAGAAGGCGATGGAGGCCAACGTGAGGCCAAATATGAAAGATATATGGATGTTCTGGCCTGGACGTATTGTCAGAGGATCGTCAGGTGAACTAAACAGTAAATTATGAATACACAGCCAGCCTCACATCTGACAAAAAAAAAAAACAGACAGTGTTTATTCTCAATTCCTCTGCAGTAGGCAGTGGCTTTTAAAAATTCAAAAAGTGTGTCTCGAAATATTTAGATATTACAAAGATTAAAGGAGTCGCGAAGACGTGTCTCACACAGAGAGAAACGAATTCGAATGGAAAACAATTAAAGTCATTACATGTTGCCAGGGACCGGTGTTGCATCAGTGAATCATCATCATTGCACTATCCCCACAGTTTACAGTTCATATTAGCATATATTAGCATTGGTATATAAGATAAGATAAGACTTTATTCATGCCACACCGGAAAAAAAAAAAAAGAATCGTGTCCCAATTTGAAGAAAATACTTTTTTTTAAATTGTTTTAAACCATTTTCTGTGGTGTACTGCTCTGTGGGAGCACCCTTAATTTCTTTGTATATAATAATAATATAATAATAATAAATATACATTTCATTAGTTCATTGAATAATATTATGCCTTTTTTCTTGTCAGCAATACATTAAGATGTGGATATGAATTGACTTAAGTATGTATTTTTATAATATGTTGTAAATCATATTTGCTTCCATGTTATTTTTTTCTTCTCTTCAATCTAATAACGTAGATAATAGCATAATAGCACATCTATAACACACACACACACACCCACACACAGAGAAGCAGTGACAAGGGAACTACACCTCATCCTTCCTCCAGACATTTTCTGCCCAGGGGGATACCAGAGAACCTGGTGTTATCACACTCCCATGTGAGTCCGACTTTTTCCCTTAGAGCAATTAATGACACAGTGAAGCCAGAAACTCTGGCCCTAAAATGGCTGCCCGTCTGGAACAGAGGTGTCACATCACCCTGACAACCAGGTCGAGCCCTCTGAGTATTATCAGGGTGCGCCAACAATGTCAGGGGTCAGAGTTCAACCCACTCTGTGACCCCTGTGTGGAATTGATCTGTTCTAGTGGAAATCGTATTTCTGAGCTTCATTTCCAGACATCAGCAGGGCACTCTAGGTGTTTCCTGCCTCCGTCATTGCTTGATGGACTCGTGATTGAAAACAACTAACTTAAATGTGTGCATGCATTAAATGAAAAAAAAAAACATTAAAGCTGTAAACCCTTGTTAAAGTTGTTTCACATTTAAAAAAAGGAAAAAAAATCCCAAACCTGATTTTCTTTATTTTAAACTATGTCTTCTAGATAATTCTGTTACACATGATTTAGAAACATCCTTTCAATGTATGGCACATTCAGAACAACAGAGATTTTACAGTCTTTTTATGTCACACAGTCTGTCTAATTTTTGTCCAGTTAAAGTAGATGGGGCTCCAGAAATTGTCAGAACATTTCTAATACACTTGCTTAGCAAACATTAACAGCCTTCTGGATTCTTCTTTGGCTTCTATAGTTTTTTTTCGTGAAGCTGCTGTTTGTCAGGGGGGCTTGTGCTCCCGAGGCAGTGAGTCAGCCAAAGAGAGGATCTGACAGCGCGGCTGTGCAGCTGGCATTCCGCACAAGCAGAGACGCCCACCCATGTCAAATGTCACAGCACTAATCTCTTTCCATTGCAGCCCAGGTGTAACCGCAGGGGCGAGAAACAGACACACCTCATTGCTTCACAGAATGAGATTCCCAGTGGACTCTGCAATTCACAAATCAACAGGCTTTCTTTTAATGAAATCCATAGCATCTTGTCAGTATTGTTTTGCGCTCAGCTGTGTGCTCATTTTAAGAATTTCGGACAGCGCATATAATGCTGCAGCGCCTCTATTTCTTTCCCTTCTGGTCCTTTTCCGTAGTGCATGTGGTTAAAGGATGGGTGAAGTGATTCCTTATTAATCCTGCAGATCTGTACAGCACAACTTTTTAAAAAAATAGGTTGCACGTGTCTTGTAGTTTGCTTTTCATTAGCACCTACTGTGTTATCTGTGAAATATCAGAAATTATAAGCACATATTATGCTTGAAAAGTCTCCTACAATACCTCACTAATTACAATTATTAATTTATTTCCAAAGAACCACCCCGCCCTGCTTCCCCGTTCCCTCATTCAACATTCTGTGGACGACGGTTTGCTCTTGTCATTTCCTCGTTCCTTTGTGCTCATCCCCCTTAAATTACTGGAAGGTGACATACAGGCAGCGTGGCCCAAGGCTGCCAGAGATTTAGAACTTTGTCCAATCCAAAGGAGAGGTGAGAAAAGACATTACTATGCAGAATAGGTTGTATTAAAAAAGAGCTTTTTATGGTGCCCCATGCAGATTATCAATTTATTTGTATAACTTGGCTTCCCAGAATTTCATTTCCTTTTTCATTTATTTGCCTTGCTGCAACCATTTACAGTCGTGAAACTGAAAATTGAAGTCATGACAAGCTAGGGTGCAATTTTTCAAGGGCAAAAATAGGCTCCCTTTGCTGTGTGACTGCGGAGGTTCATTTTAGGTGTTGTGGCTGGAGGGTAGTTGAGGGGGGGTCCCTTTTTTTCAGAACCTAAGTAGAATATTCTCCGAAATGCAGCCTGTCCACACATTTTCATGTTTTCATTAGGCTTTCTTGCAGAGTTAAACTTTGTAAAGTTCTTTGAATTTCAACTGAACTCCTGCTTTTTTAGTGTTCAAAGAAACAACACGTCAGAACTGCACGTCATTTAGTTAAATCCACGGAAAATAACATCACCACCAGGACAGAGATGACACCTCCTTTGTTGAAATACATAGTCTTATTTCAAGATTTATTTTTTTTTACCTGTTGGGGCTGACAGTTGATATTCTATGCACATAAAGTTTTGTGTCATATTTTTAATAAACAATTTTACAAAGGACACAAACACAAAAGCTGAACTATAATTTTATTAGTGCAATAAGTGGGGTACACAGCTACACAGACTGACATGTTTGAGTGCTTATGCAGGTTAAAAATACCATGTACGGAGTACAAAGATCCATAGTAATATATCAATTTTATTGATTAAATACTACAACTATCTATGTGAAGGACTCAGTCACTACATCTGTTATACTTTCACCTACATTGAAATTCTTGATAGCAGCTCACAGGTAGGATGTATGATGAGAATACTGTCTTATTTCCATTCTATACAGTTATTGTGGTAGTGCCCACTACACACAATTACTGTGTTTAGTGAGTACTACTACTGTGAGTTGTGCACTTCCATCTATCGTATTCAAAATATTGTTGGGAGTAAGTCAGGGACGAGGATAGGCATGGCCGATGTGGTGAATGGAGTGTGGCCCCAAGGGGAAAGCTTGGAGAGCAGAGCACATCTCATGCCAAAGGAAGCCAAGTCCTCCTCCCCCACCCCCGACCCATCCAGGGCTCGGTCATGCCGTGAGAATGGGATGACATTACCGGGCCATTTAGCTGGCAGAAGAGCAAAATAGAGGCGAGAGAGGCACCGTGTGTGTCACTTTTGTTATTTAATGGTTGGCTAATGTCTAGTCTAAAGGGGGCATGCCTCATCGCCAACAATAAAAACCAACAGGTCAAAAAAAAAAAAGATCCATGAAGACACTTAGAGTATAATCTCTGTAATGTCACCTGTTGTGCACTTAAAAGGACATCAACGTGTTGTTATTTCTGTTGTTACTCTGGAAGCCAAAGCATGAGTGTTGTACACTTGGCTCCTTTCTCATGTGCAGATGCTAACAGGTGCGTACGACTTCCAAGTCACTGCCTGTTTAATCACACTCTGATTCTACTCTTATTAATATAGTTACCAGCTGCAATATTTTGCCATTCTTTAAATAATGTGACTTAACAAAATGTGAAATCTCTTGCCCTTACATACATACCACATGCATTTAGCTCAGATGCATTGATCAGGGAAATCAATATGGAGCCTTTTTCAAATGAATACTCCATAACCGGTAGTCACTCGCTGTGATTTCATGCTGGTTTTTGACAAGTGTGGTTTAATTCAATATATGTATTTACACTGAACATTATTCAGATTGTAAAGAATATCTCTCCACAGTCTAGTCTACAAAGACACAAATGCACAATAAATGCATAAAATATTATTTAATTTTATATTTTATGAATCCAGACCCTTTCTTAGTCTTGATGTTGATCCCACTATGGCTACTGTTGTTTATAAGACTTACTAACTGCTTTGTACATAAAGTATGTGATACAGTAGGGTCAATTCTCATCTAAAAAAGATTGTCCAACAACAACGTCGTCGACAAGTTGTCCTGAATTCAACATATTATTTATGTTTGTTGCACTACAGTTAACGTCTTACATTCATTTCAAAACCTCTTTTTTTTAATTAGGTTTTTTTTTTTTTTTTTTTTTTTTTGCGAATTCTGCACATTTCTCCGATTTCCTCAACATACCATCCTATTTCCTTTCATGTGCCCCCACTCTACGCCACTCGGCGGTGCTCACAGACTTACTTTCCTTTTCTGGAAAATCAAATGGTCTAATGCACACGCCTTTACGAATAGCAGAGAAGGTTGTCAATACACTGGCAAAAACCTCCATTTACTTTTTACATGAAGAGGCGAAATCCTTCGCTGATGTGTTTTCGTTCTTCCTGTCGGACCGCATTTCAGCACCACGGAACTGTCCAGCATCCAGGCACGACTGTAGCGGTTCACTGTTGACGCTGATGCTGCTGCTGCCGGTGCTGATTTTGATGATGATGATAATGATAAGGTACAAGCTTATATGGTGACTTAAATGTGATTTAAGCACAAAATCAAACTTCATGAGCGCGTTCATGGCCAGCGTTCATGTTTCAGCAAATGCTACTTTGATATGGATGCAGGTGAAAAATGGCTCTTACCTCGGGTTACATCAGATCTTAGTGATCATTAATTGGTGTGTGTCTATGCGTGTGTGTGTTTGTGTGATTGCCATTGACGAAATAGCATTCTTCTCTGGCTTCACGTATAGACATTTGCTGTGACTAAGAGCACAAAGGACCGTATTCTCTTTATTTCTCCATTTATAGACCCTCTCCTCATGGTGGATTGTACCACTCGGCGTTTGCACAAGCAGAGGGGGAGGGAAAAACGCTGGCCTCGGTACAAGCACAGTTCGTAACGACCCCTTTCGTTAAAACCTCCCCACTGTTCTAGAGGAGATCGGACCGGCCCTGTCCGTTTAAACCCAGAAGACACCCATGCCGACTCCTCAATGCAAAAAATAAAAGGGTGCCAAGAAGCTGGGACGAGGGAACGTGGGTGTAAATAGACAGTGAATGCTCTTGGTCTCTCTCTCTCTCTCTCTCCCTCTATCTTTTTTCTCTCCCTCCCCCTTTCCATCGCTCTCGTACGCTCTCTCTCCCTCGTTCACGCTCACACTCTCTCTTTCTCTCTCTCCCCCTCTCTCTCTTATGAAATCAATGAACGAGTTATTGGGTAGGACATAAATATAAGGAATCAAAGCCTCCACCGGGACCAACGGCATTGCGCGCTTTTGATATGCGTCCTCGCCAAACGCTACATGTGTTTTCACATCCATGTAAATATTGGCTTTGATCGGACGAGAGCGGAATTAGCTCTGGCACGACTTGGTCTCGGAACCAAATTTTGACCAAGTCTTGCACCAGCGTGTGTTTTTTTTATTTATTTATATTTATTTGTTTATTTTTCATCGCATAAAAAAAATCTCCACCATTGCGTCCTGCTACTGTTGTACCCATCACAACTTACTGGCCGGTCTGATGATGGCAACTTTAACCAACGGGCAGGTGGACGGCACGGTGCACGGTGTCGGTGTGGTCTCCGCCAGCACAAACGGGCTCGTGAACGGATTAAGCCACAGCCACAGCCCGGCGGGCTGTCCGGGCACCATCCCCATGAAGGACCACGATGCCATCAAACTCTTCATCGGTCAGATCCCCCGCAACCTGGACGAGAAGGACCTACGGCCCCTCTTCGAAGAGTTCGGAAAAATCTACGAGCTCACTGTGCTCAAGGACCGATTCACGGGCATGCACAAAGGTTGGTTTCCCATCCCGCAAAGACAACTACACTTGTTTTTTTGTTTGTTTGTTTGTTTTGTCCGTATGAAATCTTCAACATATAGGTGAGAGTAAGGAAAAATGCTTTTGACGAGGAAAACTGCACGGTTGTTGGAAAATTGTCTTTTATCTTTTCTCTTTCTTTTTTTTTTTTTTTTGTCCGGTGCTGAAGTGCAGCTCAGAGCTGTGTTTTGGCAGCAGAATTGTAATTTTACTTAGAAATGTCAGGGACGCCGATATCGGGTTCTTTTCTCTTTTTTTTTTTTTTTTTTTTGTCTCATTGAGAAAACACATCCAAGCACAGGAGGTGTCACGATTTGGGAGTCACGACGGCACGGATTTACGAAGGGTGACATTAGGAGGAGCGATGTTCCTGCGTGGAGAGTTGGGATGGGAGTATTCACACGTCTAGTCCAGCGGCCGTAAACGTGTTTTCATTCAGTATGGTGCTAAATCCAGACCATTAACTCCACGTTTTCACGTTGCAATAGAAGGGAGTGTGTGTGTGATTCCCTGCAGCACAGTCACTCTGCTGCCCGTAACTCTCACAGTGTGGGTGTGTGTGGCGGGGTGTGAGAGAGTGGTAGGTGTACACACCCACACACACACACACGCGCGCACATGCTCGTATACGCTCGTATACACGTGTGTAAAAAATGACCTTTAAATAAATTTTAAACTCCAGTCTTCCCGTTTTTGAGTAGATGACAGTCGCGTTTTTTTTCTCCCAAAAACTCGTCTATGAGCGCAAAGAAACAGTGTTACCTTTATTTTATTTTCTATTTTTCTTTCTGTGTCTTTTTTTTAATATTTTACCTTATATGCGTTACTGGTCATCTTTTTCTATATATTGCAAATGTGTCATCGAAACAAAAGGAAAGAAATCAGAAACATGTTTTTTTTTCCACATTAATTGTGTGATGTTTTCTGTGGCAGCTTCTGGTTGAAAGGAATGAACTGTGCAGCATTGGTGTACAACTCAGGGGATGCAGGGCTGCCATTAAACTCATAGAAGCAGGAGCAACAGTGGGAGTGGGTTGGGTGGGCGGGGGTGTGGTATTACTGGTGCTAAAAGTGTTGGCCTTCAAAATGAGTTTAAACTTTGGAACTCATATGTAAAAAAATCACTGAAATTTTAGCACTAAGCCAAACTGGGAGTGTACAGTTTCACTGCAGAGTAGTATAGCCTGTGTTGTATAAACCATCAGCACAGTTGACCATCAGTGTTTGATTTAAAATACACATCACATCCACAGCTGCACATCGTGGCAGAGCACTGAGAGGTTTATGCAAACATAAACATTGTTGCACGCTGTTCCTTTAACACTGGCTGACACGGAGCTGATCTCATTGTTACAGTATCGATGCCAGTGGATTATCATAAACTTAGACGCGACATTGTTACATGGCCTTTTTCTTGTATTATTAACGAGTAGCCATGCACTCCTGGTGCAAAAGGGATGACAGTGCCTTAACCTGTATTTTATTTTCTACTCTCAAGGGAAGGGTCGTTCGTTGCAAATCACCATCTAATGAGAGGTCACTAATTGATCTGCTATACCTGCAGGACATCTCCCAAAGGAACAAAGTACTACATTAACCATGAATGATTACTTTTTGACCGCACCACACCCTCCCACCACTGTCATTATAAAAAAACACCTCCTTCTGCTCCCTGTGAAAATCACCATGTGTCAGGAAATGATTGTAATATATATATAGGTCCAAAGGGCAGAGGCTGTGTGAAGGCATGATGCAAACTATAGAAGGTTGTAGGTAAAGGGGTGGGGGTAGGGGTGGGGGTTATCTCTTATTAATAGCGCAGCTGTGGTAGCGGCTCCCTGTTGGACAGTTAATCACCAGTGGGCCTAGAACTATAGGAACGGCACACCAGCTGATTCTAAGAACTGTCTCCTCACCACGATATACAGCCCTGCTTCCCGGACAGGGCCCCCGCTTTCATTAGCAAGCCCCCGCTGCGCTCATATTTTAACTAGCTGGAGGCACTAGCCACTCCTTGGCTCAACAGCTCACTGGTTCACTGCAAACTGTTTGAAGGCAGCGTTCCCTTTACAGACACCTAACAGCCTTTACCGGAGGTTTCACAGAAGAATCCCACATTAGCCTTGAAGCCCCTTGTTTTCTACATATAACTGCAACGTGGCTGACACTGCTTTTACACTGGTATTATCGAGGACTCCACAGCACAACAAGAATAAGTGAGGAACTGACTCAGTGAAGTCAACGGAAATCACAAACAATTTTTCTATATGTTTTACACTAAGAAAAAAAAAACTGTAAATGTAATTATTCTTATGTATTGATGTGTCTGACAGTTTGATTTTCCTGCAGTCATACCTAAAACTACTGTTGAATGTTGTGTTTAATGACACTATGTAATATCCATTTAAGAACCCCTTGATCATTTCCTTTTTAACATTTGTTCCATCTGTGCTTTTTCACATTTACTGACTCATCTTATGATGCTCTTCACGTAACACAAGGAGACAGAACACTGGCAAGAAGCAGTTTTTGACACGGAAATTCAGTGTTCTGCGGTGCAGACAATATAAGTGTCCTTATTGTGTTCTGCTGTTTATGAACAATCCAGTGAAACAGCATTGGCTACGGTAGTGCTACCTCTGAAGAAAGAGACGCACGTTATAGCTATTGTCAGTGGTGCTTGTGATATTATGGCCATAACCCTCCCCATAATGACTCCATGTATCACTAGTAATCTAGTCTTTAGGATTCTGTCCCCTTGGAATAGAGGGGCAGAGGGAGCAGGGAGGAGGGGAGCTTGGGACAGGGTTGTGTAGAGGCTTGCAGCAAGCGCAGGGACACCAGTGCAGGCCTGCATTCTCCCAATGATTTTATTTCTCTACCCTCTGCGACCAAGCAATGCTAATAGAGGCCATTTATAATGGTCACCGGCTCCTGCTGCTGCTGCTACCAAGCACAGCGAGACTGAGAGGCACGGCTGGTGTGAAGAGCCAGCCCCTTTTTCTTCTCTTCTCTCTGGCAATGCAGCATGGGAGGTGGGGAACTATTAAAGAGGTGAAGGTGCAGATATGATTTCTGGCATGATTTATACCTATGATTTCATGTAATAATCTCCGGGGCAATTGTGCTGTGATGATAAGAGCATGACATTTTACGAATGACGGGATTACCTACAGTTTACTACCCTCGTGACTTCACAGTGTGCGTTGTATCTCACCAAACTTTTCTTTTATTCCCCAATCATATTCAACACAGCAACTATTTTACTTTGCTGTTATTAAATGGAGTGGAATTTTAAAAAATAAGCTCCAGCTGCAGTGATGGCTCAGTCAGTTCAGACGAACTTATTTAAAGTCAAACATTTTCCAGACACTTTTATAGTTTTGGGTTAAATCGTTTATTTTCTTGTGTCATGTGAATAAACGTTTTTAGATTAAATCAACTGTTTTTTACTGCTCCATTTTATCAAACTGCCACACGAGAGCACTATGTTAATTGGAAAACATGATGACAAGTGGCGATACATTGGCAGTTAAACCCTTCATGAGTTAATTGTGTATAAAATGGCTCCTTGGTCATATAGACGTACAGAGCCGAGCCAGAGTAAACATTAAAATTAGTAAAGAGAGTGGAGACAAAATGAATAAAGTATTCTTGATTAAAAATCTGTCACACTGCATGGCTTGTGCTAAATGATGATGGCAAATATAATTCTGTTTCTGATATTAAAGTTTATGTAAAACCTGGCTTATCTTTAAATAGTCTTAATCAGGGAATAAGTCACAGATCAGAGCTCTC